TCCCAAAATGCGAGGAAAACGTTTTCTACATAAAACATCCTCAAGTGCTTCTCGTTCCGAAAGCTAGTTCTACTCCATTACTGTGGCTGGGGCATCAGAGCCTTGCACTTCTTTCTTCAAGGTCTGTCAAGGCATTGCCCCAGGATTTCTCAGTCACTGCTGCATCCAAATGTTCCAAGTTAGCTGTCTTGTGGGATCTGGAATCCTGTCTCTTTTCAATTGCTCCATGTAACAGTGCTCTGCCTAATCACAGAGTGTCTGCAGAAATCACACTCCTAGTAATTTTTTTGGTGAAAATGTCTTCATTTTCTACTCAACACACAAGAAAACCCTGCTGACCAGGAGCAACCTGGAACTCAAACCTGTCAACATTTGCTGGTCAGCCCAGGAGAACCCCTGTTCCCCCAAGTGCCTGCAGGACATCCTAGTCCCCAATATTTGGGCCTCCACCCTGCGTTGTGCCTATACATCCTGGTGCGGCCTGAAGCCTGGATTTGCCTGTCCTGCTTTTTGTCCATTCGACGTAGCTCTCAGCTGAATTTAGGCTAAGTAAGTGGTTTCCATCTCCCATTAAAAACTGTAAGTTTGTGGGACCAGCAGTTAGCATAATGGCTATGTCGCTGGACTCCCACATAGTCAACCGTGGTTCGAGTCCTGGACCCAGTGGCTTAAACTCACGCCGGGCACGTGTGTGTGCGTGCCCAAGCTCCCGAGAGGATAATGGAGGAGAAGGGATTGCGGTGTGGCCATCCCCTCTGGGGGGTGATTTCTCGCTTTCTATCTCTCTGTCTCTGTCTGGCAAGCGCACACGCCCTATAGCAAAAACCTTTCCAAAAACAAACAAACAAACAAACAAACAAAAAAACTGTAAGTTTGCGTTACTACTGAAAATATACACAAAGTAGACTGTTTTGTCTATCTTTCCATTAACTTGCAACAGGTTGTTGGCTAGGAGATGCAAACAAACAAAAAAGCCCACTGGATTTCACATTATATTTCCACAGGGCTTTGCTAAAAGAAAGGGACGATCTATAACTATGGCACATGGAGCCACACACGTGGTAAAGAAAACCATACTCTACACGTCCTGTTGAATGTGGACTGTTAGCAATGGGTAAAAACGCTGCAGGTATGCTATACTGTTAATTTATGAAATCTTGTTCTCCAATCTAAAAAAGTAGTTATGAATTGTGAAACACATTCCATGGTGTGCAAATATACATACTGCAGATCCCGATGATCTGTCCTGACAAACATGTGGTCTCACCTGAATTTCGTTTACAAGATTTTTAAGAGACCTTTAAGCACTGTCTTAACACTGTGAAAACCACTACAGTAGCATACAGGGTAATTATGGGCTGGTGCTCAGAAAAATGTGCCCCATGTAATTCTGATGCTGGCAGGTCAGTACCAGAGAACCAGGACACAAGCGTGGGAGGGTTAGCTGCAGACTTTCCCAGGGCTCTGGTGGAAGGGATGGGGAGAGCCAGCTGAAGACCCTGGTGAGTTGCTGTTTGGTGGTCAACAGGCTGGGAACGTGGACATAGTTTGTCAGATTAAGCATCACAACTGGAGCAATTACAGGGCCTACGAGAGGGGCCAGCAATGTCCATCTCCTGACTGCAGGGCTTCAGTATCTCACTCATAGTGTCTCCCCTCCCTCCCAGCTGTGGCACTACCATACAAGCAAACATGTTGTGAAATTCCCAGGTGTTAGAAGTACATGCATCACATACCTATAGGCAAAGCTGTGTCTGTGCTTAAACCCGAGCCAACCAGGAAATCCCCGACTAGTGTAGGTCTCTCATATACCCACGCTGGGAAGACCGGGAGGTGCTGGCCTGAATTTTTTTTGTTCTGCTTTTCTCGAAGCATCTTTCTTGTAAGTTCCAGAGACTAGCAAGGGTATTTTAAAAAACAAAAGCAGATTATGTTTTAGTACAAATATTAAACATCCATGTGAAAAAAAAACACAAAGAAAAAGTTCATGGGCTGGCCTGGCAGCACAGTGGATAAGCACTATACATTTGGAGCTGGATTCCACGCGGACAACTGTGGTTCAATTTCCAGCCCAACAGCTTGAAAAACATGTTGGGCATGTGTAAACATGTACTGCAACTCCTCACAGGATGGAGGAATGGAGGAAAAAGAATTGAGACATAATCACAGCCTACTGGGAGGTTCTCTCTCCATCCCTTCCCTTTCTCTGGTGAGAACATGTATCTTCTAGAATATTAAAGATAAATAAATGGAAGAAAGAAAAAAAAGTTCAATCACTGAATACATATAAGTGTCTAATCATTGCCTGTCATAATGCAAGGGGCAGGAGAATAAGAGACAGGAAGACCCAGTCTCTCTTGGTAGGGATTTTGAGATTATCCTCCTTAGAGATTTTGAGGTACAGCCTTTTCTCCCATGGCCCCTGTTGCTCGCATTTGAGATTTACCAATGGGCTCCACATTGGAAACAGATAAATCTCAAGTTCCAGCCACAGGGGCCATGGGGAAGAGGCTATGCTGCACTACAGTGCAGGTATTTCAGATGAGGACAGTCTACAGAGAACCTGGATTGCTTTTTCCTGATGATGATTAAGTCTAAACTGACTTTCTGGGTGAAGTCAAGCCTTACCAACAGGTATGCATCTTCACCCTGCTGGAGAAGAACCCTGGGGATGCATCTAGAAGGCGGCATCAAGAAAGGATGGCTTCTGGAATTATACGGAGCACTGGCTCTTCCAAAGGACTGGCTGGGCTGGTCCTGCTTTCTGAAGCATTCACTCAGGAATGGCCAGAAAGAAGGAAGGTAAAAATGGACTCTGCACTCAACAGTTAGCCTGTTTCCTCATGCATCACATGGGGAGTGACCATGTCCCGCACACAGGACATGCCCAACAAATATCAGCTGTGTCCTTGTTAGAGCCACTATACTCAATAAGCACATGCTAGAGTGGGCACCTCACAGAGATGCAGCTCTGAAGTGGGGTTTGTGGGTCAAAAAGGCAAGAATACAGCAGCTGCAAGAGGAGAGGAATGGAGATGATGTATATCAAAAGACCATGGTAGGCCATAAAACCAAAACGAAGAAGCAATAGTAAGTACAGGAAGAAGAAAAGGGCTGGTCCTGTGGCCTAGTGGTTAAGGGAGCCAGACCCATGTGGTTGATCACGCATTTTGAATCCTTGCCCTGGTGTCTTGAAAAACACACCAGGTGTGTGTATGTGCATATTCCAAATGCCAAAAGGATGGGAAAAGGAGAAGGGATTGGAGTGTGACCACACCCCATTGAAGGGGCTGTCTCTCTTCCTTCCTCTGTCTCTCTGTGACAAGTGCACATGCCCTCTGGCAAATAATTTTTAAAAGTAAGGAAGAAGAAAATAACAATAACCTAAAACATACGATAATTTATGTAACATAATCTTGAAAATTGCCAGAAATTGCCAAAAATTACAGGAGCAAAATGGAGAATCATGATTTGTGCTGGCTCAGATTACATAACTATACCGCAATAAGTGACTTTTACTTCCCTAGGTTATCTCTTTTGTTTTTGCTGATGTTATAGGATGCACATGCTCATTGGAGAGACAGACACAGATAGAGTGGGAAAGTGGGAATCACAACCCAGGGGGCAAGTCCATGCAGCAATCCCTTTTCCTCCATTCTGCTCTGGGGATTTTGGAAAGTGCCCAGTGTGGTTTTGAAGCCACTGGGTCCAGGATTTGAACTGTGTAGCCAGCCATGTAGGATCCAGATGCCTTAGCCACCATGCCACCTGCTGGCTAGTAAGCCAAAATCTTATTATCACTATCTGTTTTCATACTTGTGGTGCAGAGTTCTTGATTAAAAAATTAACCCTAAGGGGCCAGCATTTGTCATGGTGGTTGAGGTGATGGACTCTCACATGGCTGACTGCAGTTCAAGTCCTGGACCTGGTGGCTTGCCTTCTCACTTTCCTTTTCTCTCTGGTCAAACAACAACAACAACAACAAAACAACAACAAACAAAATTTTTAAATAATTTTAAAATTTTCATCCTAGGGTCACCAGGTGGTACAGTGGTTAAGGCACTGGACTCCTACATTGCTGACCCTGGATGGAGTCCCAGACCTGAGCAGCTTGAAACTCACATGAGGCGTGTGTGCCCAGAATCCCAAGTGGAGAATGGAGAGGGGATTGTGGCATGGCCATCCCCCCCCCTCAGGAGGTGATTTCTCACTTTCCCTCTATCTTCCCTGTCTCTCCAGCAAATGTATTTGTACTATGACCAAAAAAAAAAAACAACAAAAAAAAGGCCAGGTGTATGCCCAAAATCCTAAGAGAAGAATGGAGAAGAGATTGCAGAGTAGTTATGTGCCCTGAGGGGGATGATTTCTCACTTCCTCCAGTGAGCACAGAAGTCCTACAGAAGAGTAAAAAAAATAAATAAATAAAAAATGACCCTATAGAGCTAGGCCACGATCAAGCAAATGTTAAATTCAGGTTCCTTTTTTTTAAACAAACTATAAGATGCAGGAGTCAGGGAAAGTGAGAAAGATCCTCCCTTCTCCCCCACTAGGGAGGATGGCTACACCACAATCCCTTCTCCATTATCCTCTCAGGATTTTGGGCACGCACGCACACACACACACACACACACACACACAGCCTGGCATGTTTTCTAAAATGCCAGGTCCCAGACTCAAACCACATAGTCCACCCTGCAGGATCCAATTGCTTCAACTATACCAAGTGGCTCACCGTACCTCATCTTTTTTTAAAAAAGAGTTAATTTTTAAATTAAATTTTTTTTTTTTTTTTAATTTCACTGGAGAGATAGAAAGAGAAAGTGAGAAGGAAAGCTGTCAAGTCTGGGACTTAAACCACAGTCAGTCATGTGGGAGCCCAGGACCTTAACCATCATGCCACTTGTCAGCTCTAACCCCCTCCTTTTTAATTTTGCTAGAGAGAGCATGTGCTCAGAGAGACAGAGACAAAATGAGCAAGTACCCTTTCGGGGGGGTACTAATGGTGCAATCCCTTTTTCCCCATATTTCTCCCTCCTTTCAGGATTTATGGCAAACACATATGTGTTTCTCAAGCCACTGAGTCAAGGACTTAAATTGCACAGTCAGTCATGTGAGATCCAGATATTTTAATTATCATGGCAAAAGCTGGCCATCAAAATTCACTTTGTCTTTGTTTTCTTTCTTTCTTCTTTTTTTTTTTTTGAGAGGTTTTGCTATAGGGCATGTGCACTCACCAGAAAGAAAGAAACAGAGAGACAGAAAGTGAGAAATCACCCCCCAGGGGGGATGGCCATGCCGCAATCCCTTCTCCTCCATTCTCCTCTAGGGATCTTGGGCATGCATGCACATGCACCCGGTGTGAGTTTAAACCACCAGGTCCAGGACTCAAACCACAATCGACTACATGGAACCCAGCAACATAGCCATTATGCTAACAGCTGATCCCTCTCTCTTATTTTTTTTAAACATGGTATCTGTGCTATTATTCTCCTGCCTCAGCCTCCCAAGTAGCTGGGATTACAAGTGTGTGCTACCGCTTTCAGCTTTAAGGGTGGGCCAGAAATCAAACCTAGTCCTCCCATGTGGCCTCAGCCTGCTGAGAGCAGCATCAACCAGTGCACACTTCCACAGCTGGGCTTTTCATTTTTGCTATAGGGTATATAAGTTCGATGGAGACAGAGAAAGCACTCCTCTGGGGGAGGGATAGCCATGCCACGATCCCTTGTCCTCTCAAGATTTTGGTCCCATACACACATGTGCCTGGTTTGTTTTTCAAGACACCAAGTACTAGACTTGAAGAGTAGTTGGCCACATAAAATCTAGCCAACTTAACCACTACACCGTCTCCTGGCCCCCAGATTCTTTTCAGTAAGAGCATGCCTGTGCATGCAAGAGAAAGCATGGTCTTCCACGCGTGGAAGGAGGAGGGAGAGGCATTTTCTGGTGCAATGTCACAATTGAGATCCTTTGTCCCAGTCTCACAGTTGGCTAAGGTTGCAGATGCATACTACCATACCTGGCTGTACAGGATGGCCCAGAATCTGAATCCAGGCCTCCCATGTGGCCCCAACCTCACACATCAGAGCCTACTGCTTATGCCACCACGGCTGGGCCTCATGTTCTCTTTATTTACTTATTTATTTATTTTTTAAGAATTGTTTTATTTAGGACCAGCAGTTAGCATAATGGCTATGTTGCTGGACTCCCATGTAGTCGACCACGGTTTGCGTCCTGGGCCCGGTGGCTTAAACTCACGCCGGGCACGTGTGCATGCGTGCCCAAGATCCTGAGAGGAGAATGGAGGAGAAGGGATTGCGGCATGGCCATCCCCCCCCCGGGGGGTGATTTCTCGCTTTCTGTCTCTCTATCTCTCTCTGTCTGGCAAGTGCACGTGCCCTATAGCAAAAAAAACCTCTCCAAAAAAAGAAAATAAAAAAGAATTGTTTTATTTAACTTTTTTTAAAATTTAACTTAAAAAATTATTTATTTATTCATTTTAAATTTGACCAGAGAGGGAGAGTGTGAGAGAGGGTCAAGAACTCAAACTGCAGTCGGCCACATGGTAGTCCAGCACCCTTAACCACCATGCCACCTGCGGCCCCACTTTTTTTTAATCTATTATTATCACTTTTTCATTTGACCAGAGAGACAGACAGAAAGTAAGAAAGCAAGCTGTCAGGTCTGCAACTCAAATAGTGGTCAGCCATGTGGGAGTCCAGCGCCCTTACCCACCATGCCACCTGCCAGCCCCCTCTACTTTTTTAAAAAAAATATGCTCTCACTGTTAAAATCGTCCTGACTCAGTCTCTAAGCTGGAATGGGATGATAGGTTTGTGGCACCATATTTGGTTCTTTTTTTTCTTTTTCTTTTGAGAGATTTTTGCTATAGAGTGTGTACACTTGCCAGAGAAACAAAATCAGAGAGACAGAAGACGAAAAATCACTCGCCAGGGGGGATGGTCATGCCACAATCTCTTCTCCATTCTCCTCTTGTGATTCTGGGCACACATGCACATGTGCCCAGTATGAATTTTAAGCTGCCGGTACTCAAACTGTGGTCGACTGTGGGAGTCCAGCAACGTAACCATTATACCATCGGCTGGTCCCTTTGGTGCTTTATTTTTGTTCCCTCCAAATAGCATCTCATTTTGTTGCCCTGGCCAGCTTCAAGCTCATTATTCTACCTCAGATTCTGAGTAATGGGGATTTTAGGCACAAATCACTGTGCCTAGCCTTTAGGTTGGACTGGGAACTGAAACTAGGCCTACCATGTGGTCCCAGCCTATGGAGCACAGCATCTCAGCAGAGAACACCACTGTGGCTAAACTAGACTCATTTTTAATAAATGACAGAGTGGGACTGGCAAAGGGATTCAAATCCTGGACCTGGTGGCTTGCTTTCTCACTTTCTCTCCTTCTGTCTTTCTCTGGTGAGCAAATGTGTTCTATAGCAAATTAAATAATAATAATAAGTAAAATGAAATAATTCTTTCAAAATGAATAAATAAATGGCACAGCTGCTCCTGTTCAGCTGGTGCGTGGCACTGCACCAGGCACGGGCACGGGCACCTGTGGACAGTAATAGACTCGGTACCTGCTGCAATGTGGAGCCTGTGGCCACGCTGCCGAGCTGCTTCCTTAGCTCTTCGAGCTCCTGCATGGAGATCTTAGAGGTGGTGGCAGGGATGCTGAAGCTGGTAGCACTGCCAGCCATAACAGTGGCAGCGAGCTCAGCTCTCTCTTTTGCATTCTGCTGCAAATACTGCAAAGTCTGAAAACACAAAACTGTGTGTTCATATTGGGCCAGCATGTTTGTGTATTTTGTCAAGGAACACAGGTCCCCCTCTAGGCGCCCCCGATTCCTAATCCAAATAACCTCCCATGAACCATGAGGTTTGGGTTCCCCTATTAGCCCATCAGTACTGTCTGATCTCAGATACTTCACACCATGTGGTACCACCTGCCATCTCTCTAAAGTATGATGGGAAAGAAATCTTATAGTCCTCCTTGAAAGTCAGTCCTAACTTTGTCCTCATTGGTATAAGACCTTCCTCAACACTTCACCTAAGGTTCCCTGGCTAAAGAGACTACTTCCCCTTATCTGTCCCTAAAGCTGGTGGTTAACACGATGTACCTGGTCACACCCTTTTATCCACGATGGGAGAATAGCGACCTTATATTGTGTAACATCACTGGATTGGCTTCTCTGCCTCAATGTGACTTTTCCTTAAAATCAAAGTAACACACAAAATAAACAGTAGCCCTGCATGACATAAAATCAAAAGTAAAAATGACCTTGCCCGCAAGAGGTAACTACTATTGGTATCTCATGCTTACATCTATTGCGAGTAATTTCTCAGTCTGATTGGCCAAAAATATATTTCTATGTGACCTCAAAGTGTTACTAGAAGGAGGCATGGAAGAGCCTGAGCAAAGGGGTACTGAGTAAGCTGCGAGAACACACACAACACACATGGGAGGTGGTACTTCAACCCTGTAACACAGGCTTTTAGGAGCACGTGCCGCACTAGCCTTCCAGGGACACCTAGAGATGCTCTTTGCCAGCCCTCCCATAGCAGGCACAGTGCCGAGGGCTGGCACAAGTGCTTACCTCTTTGTCTTCTGTGAGCTTTGACAACAGATATACCAATGGGTCCAGGTTCCTTGCATTCTTAGATTTCAGTTCATCATATTTCTTTAGAAAGTCTTCTGGAGTGCGAGAAAACTCTGCAATTTTAACCTCAAAAACATAAACGTGAGTGATTTATTGACAGTAATTAATCAAACACTTAAAAATAATTAAACACAAAAACCAAGAGTTAAATTACATTAACTAAATTATCAATGTCTATGGAGAAAAAAAAAAAGAAGAAAATGCACCTAAACATTTTGAACTTATCCTATTTCCTTTCAGTTTTCCCTCATTTTATGCTTTTTTAAGACATAGACCAGATAATAACCACTTACATTTCTGCTTAGGAGTTTATAAATTTATTTTATATATTTAACCTCATTTTTTTTCTGGAATTTATTATGTACAGGCTGAAGGGCTATATTTCACCCAATGGTTTACAATGTTCACCTTTATAATAAACTAAATATAATCATGTGTGACCTTGTACTTTATATAACACTCGTAAATCTAATTAACCCCTGTGCCATTAAACTATTTAAATAACTAAAGCATTGAGACCAGCAGTTGGCATTATGGTTACGTCACTGGACTCCTACGTGGTCAGCTGGGTTCGAGTCCCAGACCCAGTGGCTTAGACTTACACTGGGTATGTGTGTAGGCATGCTCAAAATCCCAAGAGGAGAATGGAGGAGAAGGGATTGTGGTGTGGTTCCCCTCGGGGGGGGGGTGATTTCTTGTTTTCTGTCTCTCTGGCAGGTATGCACATCGTAAGGCAAAAATCTCTAAAAAAAAAAAAAAGTAACTGAAGCATCATAAGGTATTTTTTTTTTGAGTACATGTACTGGGACCGGCAGATGGCATAGTGGCTATGTCGCTGGACTCCCATGTAGTCGACGGTAGTCTGAGTCCTGGACATGGTCACTTAAACTCACACCAGGTGTGTGTGCGTGCGTGCCCAAGATGCCGGGAGGAGATGTGAGGAGAAGGGATTGCGGCACGGCCACCTCCCCCCTGGGGGGGTGTGTGATTTCTCACTTTTTTTTCTCTCTGTCTCTCTCTGTCTTTCTGGCGAGTGTGCGTACCCTATAGCAAAAATCTCTCAAAAAATAAAAAAGAGTGCATATACCAGATGGAGACAGAGACAAGGGTGGGTGAGGAAGTATTACCTATTCAGTGATAGCCATGAAGCAATCACTTCTGTTCCATTCTCCTCTAGGGGTTCTGGGCATACATGCACATATATCTGGCATGTTTTTCTCCCCGCCCCATACACACATTTTATTGATTCACAAAAGATCTTAATCTAAATACTTTCCATAGCAAGTACAGCTGATATATACATATCTATAAACACATGTCTGACTTCAGGCATAAACAACAGTGAGGACGAACATACTATAAAGTAGTACCTAGCTGGAGCTATATAGCTTACTACAATCATTAAATAGGTATATTTTCAATGCATTTTTAAATTTCACCTGGCATGCTTTTCAAGCTGCTGGTTCCAGGACTTGAACCATGTGGTTGGCCATGTGGGATCCAGCCACTATAATCATCATGCCAAGAATGGCTGGTCTACCATCATAATATTGGTTTGTTTGGGGATCAGCAGTTGGCATAATGGCTATGTCACTGGACTCCCATGTAGTTGACCACAGTTCGAGTCTCGGACCCAGTGGCTTAAACTCATGCTGGGCGCGTGTGCATATGTGCCCAAGATCCTGAGAGGAGAATGGAGAAGAAGGGATTGCAGCATGGCCATCTCCCCTGGGAGGTGATTTCTCGCTTTCTGTCTCTCTCTGTCTTTCTGGTGAGCACACACGCCCTATAGCAAAAACCTCTAAAGAAAAAAAAATTGGTTTGTTTTGTTTTAGGTTTTTGCCCTAGGGCACATGTGCTTATGAAAGAGACAGACAGAGTAAAAGTGAGAAATGACAGTGGGGGTGTGTGCAGTGTACATGCCACAGACCCTTCTCCCTCACTCTCCATTTGGGATCCTGGGCATGTATGCACACGCACCTGGCATGATTTTCAAGCTGCTGGGTCTGGTACTCGAACTGTGATCTGCCATGTAAGAATTCAGCACCTTAACTACCACACCACCTGCTGGCTCCCGTATTTTAAAAACTAGATTCCAAATTCAAAATCATTTTTTACTGAGATCTATAATCCTGAGTTACAGAATATTTAAATAAACGAATAATACTTTAAAGGTATTTCAACATAGTTAACACAAATAACTTCCTTTTCTATCCACAGAAATGTCTGTCACAAGTTTCCCATACTAGTGGGATGCATGGGAGGGAGAGGGTAAGAGTCAGGGTTCCAAACCCAGCTCTCTCCCTGGGCCTCCATTTACTGATCTGTATAATAGGGGAACAGGAATCTCTATGAGGAGTCATTAGAATCACAGAGTTGAGTGTATACTTGACTCAAGAGGAGGATTTGACAAGTGGTGTCTGCCACTGGCACTGCTAGGGTGCCTACTCTGCACCAGGGATGAGCCCTCACCTTGGCACTGTGAGCAGAGACAGTGGTTGTGACATATGGGGTCCTGTTCTTCTGCAGTAGGTCGATGTACACCTCAGCCCCATCTCCTCCATGGACACGCAACAAGCTGAGCAGCTCATTGACATCATGATGAATCCGAAACTCACTCATGGTTTTACGTCTGAGACACCATCACCATATACTCTCCTAAAGATAAGAGAAAGCTATTAATAAAATTAAAACCCTATAAACAAAAAAAAAGTTTAAATGACCAAATTCAGCCAATGTCAGGCCTTTAACAAACCAAATCATTATTACTTGGCCCAACCTGGCCTGAGGCAGCCCCAAACACAACAGTGTCAAGACCGTCCATGGGGAACCAGCAGTTAGCGTAATGGCTATGTCGCTGGACTCCCACGTAGTCGACCGCGGTTCGTGTCCCGGACCCGGTGGCTTAAAACTCACGCCGGGCGCGTGTGCGTGCGTGCCCAAGATCCCGAGAGGAGAATGGAGGAGAAGGGATTGCGGTGTGACCATCCCCCCTGGGGGGTGATTTCTCGCTTTCTGTCTCTATGTCTCTCTCTGTCTGTCTGGCGAGCGCACGCGCCCTACAGTGAAAATCTCTCCAAAAAAAAAAAAAAAAAAAAAAGAAGACCGTCCATGGACTAGGGCTCATCTGATTCACCTGCCTTCTCCTGCTTATGGTGTGCCCAGTGAAGTCCCGACCATCTTTACTGAGTTCATTCCTATGCCATGCTCCCTTGCCTACAGTTCAGTTTTCAGTCTCACATCACAGTTCAGGGAGTAGCCTCACTAACCCCTGTTCTTTCTCCTGGGTCACTCCATCCATATGGAGCTGCTCTGCTGCTCCCCTTAGCTGATGGATAGAGCTTTTTGCTCCCAGCTATGCAGACACGATGGTCCTGACCTTTGGGGGTCCAGGATCTAAGCAGGAAGCTCTGCGAAGGCATAAGCCACGGGCCCTGTCCTGACACAGGTACTGAAATCCCAGCTCCTAACCTTGAGGCCCATACCTAGTTCTCAACTGAGCTATACAGCTGCCACTCCATTTGTACCTCCAACCTTGTGTTCTTTCTGCACTCTCATATCTAGGAAGTTTTCTTTCCTTGCCCAAGTTTAACTACATGTGAAAATGCTTTTGGTAAGATTTCTATATGTTCTCTATGCATTTGAGCTGGGTAGGGTTCCACTTCAGCTCATCTGTCCTGCTTACCTGCTTTCCAAGGTTCTCTCTAATAGACACATAACCCTCTGAGATCAAAACCGTAAGAGATGACCCAAGTGGCCAGTAGTAGACTACACAGGGTACTTCTTTCTCCCACCGATGACTGAAAGCAAAGCATTATTCGAGAGTGCTGGACCGGCAGGTGGCGTGGTAGTTAAGGCGCTAGACTCCCACCTGGTCGACCACAGTTCGAGTCCTGGACCTGATGGTTTGCTTTCTCATCTTCTCTCTGTTTCTGTCTCTCCCTGGTGAGCGCAAGTGCCCCATAGCAAAATTATAAAAGAATAATAATAATAATAATATTAAATAAATAATTCTAAAAAAAGAGTGCTGATAAAAGGGCATTAAGGGAACCAGCAGTTAGCATAATGGCTATGTCGCTGGACTCCCACGTAGTCGACCGCGGTTCGTGTCCCGGACCCGGTGGCTTAAAACTCACGCCGGGCGCGTGTGCGTGCATGCCCAAGATCCCAAGAGGAGAATGGAGGAGAAGGGATTGCGGCGTGACCATCCCCCCTGGGGGGTGATTTCTCGCTTTCTGTCTCTATGTCTCTCTCTGTCTGTCTGGCGAGCGCACGCGCCCTACAGTGAAAATCTCTCAAAAAAAAAAAAAAAAAAAAGAGCATTAAGAAAACACAAAAGCAAGGACCAGCAGATGGTGTAATGGTTATTTCTCTGGACTCCCATGTAATTGACCATGGTTTGAGTCCATCTAGAGTCAGTGTAGAATTTCAACTTAATATTCATTAGTAAAATAACATACTGGATGAGCCCCATGGTATTGTGTGTAGGTAGCTGGATCCCCTGGGGTTGACCTCAGTTTGAATTTTGACCCTGGGAACTTGAAACTCATGCCAGGTACGTGCGTGTGCATGCCCAAAATCCTGAGAGGAGAATGGAGAAGAGGTGATTGTGGCATGGCTATCCCCCCATGGGGTGATTTCTTACTTTCTGTCTGTCTCTCCAGTGAGTACACACACCCTACAGCAAGCACACACACCCTATAGCAAAAAACCTCTCCAAAAAAATAAAAAATCACTCAAAAAAAAAAAAAAAAAAGAAAACACAAGGTCAAGGTCACTTAGGCATTCATTAAAAAATAAACAGAAGCAATGTTTACAGGCTTCATGTAAACATCTCAGTACACCTACATACACCTTATTCTAGGATCTGTGTATAACAGAATAATCCTTGGAAATCACAGGCAAAAGCAAAGCAAAATCATTTATGTTTATAAATTCTCTGATAATTTTTGGGGGGAGGGGGTTAGAGGGCACATGCACTCACCAGAAAGAGAGAGAGAAGGAAAATGAGAACTCCCCATGGTAGTTTAAACATTTTAAACTACTAATTCTCCTATTAGGCACAATCCCTTCTCCTCCATTTCTTCCTCCTTTCAAGATTTTGGGTAGGCACATAAATGCAAAGGAGTGTTTCTCAAGCCACTAGTTGTCTTCCCCAGTTGTTCCTCACACAGTTGGCTGTGTGAGATGAAGCTGCCTTAAACACCAGGCCCTGGAGCCAACCAGAGATGGTTCTTCAACAAATCCTCAAAGGCTCTGTGACCCAAAAAAAGGTTAAGAACCACTATCCTAATAACAGCTACAGTGAAGAGGAACAATGAGTTAAATAAAACATCAAGTACAGAAGACTTAGTACACACTCCCACAATATGCTGCTTTAACAGCCAGAGGACACATGTGCTTGACAGGGAGAATGCACCCCACAAAGAAAAGTGGTTACACCGCAATCCTTTTTCCTCTATTTCTCCATCCTCTCAGGATTTTAGGCATGTAAGCACATGTGTCCAGGGTTTTTTTCAACCTCCCAGGGTCAGAATTCAAACTGAGGCCAACCCCATGGGATCCAGTTACCTATACACAATACCACGGGGCTCATCCAATGTGTTATTTTACTAATGAATATTAAATTGAAATTCTACACTGACTCTAGATGGAAAACTTACCCAGTACATACTGGTCAGAAGCAGCATATCTCCAAGGACAAAACTAGAATAGTAAAAATGAGGTGATGCACAAATTGCTAGTGCATGTATTTCTGAATGAGAAAGCACTCGTGGTAATTACACTCAGGAGTGCAAGAGCAACAAGGCATGGGCTGTAGGGTCCCGGACAATCTAGATCTTGACTTGGCCACTTCTGGACTGCAGGACCCTGGGCAAAGAGCTTGTCCTCCCCAGAGCTGTTGTGGGGCGTAAATAAAATGACACTTGCAAAACACGGAAGGGCCCACATAGATCAAGTACTTGCACTACTGCTATTAGGGAAACAAGAACAAATGCTGCTGCTACTACGTAAGGCCAATCTCGGGGAAACGTTCATTCTGTTATCTGGTAAACAGTTTGATAAAACAAAAATTGGATCCAAATCACTGACAACATTTTTTTTTTTTTGGAGAAATTTTCGCTATAGGGCTAGAGACAGAAAGCGAGAAATCACCCCCCAGGGGGGATGGTCATGCTGCAATCCCTTCTCCTCCATTCTCCTCTTGGGATCTTAGGCACGTATGCACACGCGTCCGGCGTGAGTTTCAAGTCACCGGGTCCGGGACACAAGCCGCGGTTGACTACGTGGGAGTCCAGCAACATAGCCATTAAGCTAACTGCTGGTTCCCATCACTGACAACATTTTAAACTACCAATTATCATATTAGACACAGGGAACCCCTGAGTGAGGCACTGCAAACTACTGGCAAGACAGAAAGGACAACCTAAAATTTTCCAAATGACAATTTCTTTGACACATAAGGCAACCATTTTCACCCGTATGCTATGAAGCTGCCCAAGACGGAGTTGCACTCTAATTGCTGGACTGAGGACCATTTCGGTCATGCTAGATGTCAGGTAAAACAAAGCATCCCTTCCCCAGACACGAGTGGACAGAGAAAGCTACTTCTGAAGACAGAACTGGCCCACCAAAAATAACAAGGGTCCCCCTGCAAACACAACTGTGAAGAATATTTCATTGTAACAGCTTACCAGATATTTTTGTGTTCCTGGGTTCTTATCGCTATTAGTCACTCAAACCAAGGTGTGTGACTGAGTGGACCTTATCTCCTCTTCACACTGAGTGTGAGTTACCGCAGGGACCAGGGAGAAGGACACAATCGTGTTGACAGTACATTCCACCATGCACATTCTCCTAGTGAACAATTGATTGAAACACAGGAAAGGAGAATCATCATTCAAATTGGCTTGAAAAACATTTTTTTACAATTTGTGAAAAACATTTAAGAGCCCAAGTTCTTTTATAAAGATAGATGAAAAAGTCTGAGTCTGAACAGAAGCTATTTTGAAGCCTAAAAATGACTCGTTGGGGATGTAGCCACAAATGGAGATTTCCAAGATCAAGTGACAAAAAGTTTTCAATTATATTTCTAATCTCTTAAAGAAACAGCAGCCCCCTTTTCTTTACATTGCATGAATGTATGAGTAAGTCCTGGCCGATGACGAATTATTTGGAAAGAGAAATGGAGAGTTAAAGCTTCCTTCCATAAGCCACACAGATCCATCCTCTAGAGACAGATCTCATCTGTCCTGTGCTTCCTGTGTGTCATCACACACCATTAATTAGGTCATTGTGTAGTCAGACATGTGTGTCTGCAGGCTGCAGGATCCAGAGTGGAAGGGATCCCCTCTGATTTCTTTACCCAACATCCTGAGCAACAAGCACAGGGTCTGGCACATCTGGGGCGCTGACTGGGTGGAGGGGACTGGAAACGAAGACAAACCCTGCCAGTTATGGACTGGGCATTTGGGCATGGAAGGGCTGTAGGTCAAAACAGTCACAGTAAAACGTGAACTTCCCAAAGACCACCTTGGCTCCAGTTCGATGACGGGTTTAGAAGGAACAAGAATGATTCAGAGCCGCCCGCAATCCAACAGGGGAGAGACCAGCACGATGACGATGATGATGGAAAAGAGTGTGCGACAGCCATTTAGAGGAGCAAACCTGCACTATGAGAAACGGAAGGGCTACCTAGAGACCTCGCTCTTGGACCTTAACAGCTGCTGGACAACCCGGAGGCCAGTCTGCACCGGAGCAAGGGCTATGCTCCGCTCAGGGTCGGGGTCCGAGAGGCTCAGGCCTAAGCCCGCGAGTAACCAAGCTAAGGGAGGCCGGGGCGGAGTCAGTCCTGGCAGGCGGCGGAGCCTGGGGGAGCGCATAGAAAGAGCCGTGTTCGCCCCGTCCCAGGTCCTCCAGCACCCTGGCGCCGCAACCCTACACCGGGCCCGGACTCACCGCAAGGCCAGCAGCCGCCCAGCCGGAGCCCGCCACAACACTTAGCACAACCCCCGACGACAACGGAAGTGTTCCTGACCTCACGTCCGGCCCCGCCTGTGCCCGACTCTCGGACGGTGGCCGACAGGTTGTGAGCGGCTGCATCCGAGGCGATGCAGCTGCCACCCGCACTGCATGCCCGCCTGGCTGCGGGGCCTGGGGCGGCTGAGCCGCTGCCTGTGGAGCGGAACCCCGCGGCCGGGGCCGCACCTTTTCGCTTCGCAGCGCGCCTAGTGCGCTTCCCGAGGGATCACGAGTTTTTTGAGGTACGTGAACGAAGGAGGAGGGCCTAATTCCGCGGGCGGGGCTGCAAGGCTCTTGGCCCTGCCCATGGCATACGTCTCGTGCGTCTCGTGCAGGACGGGGACGTGCAGCGGCACCTGTACCTCCAGGACGTGCTTACGCAGGTAGCGGAGATGCCAGAGAGACCCAGGTGAGCGGCTCAGGTGCCAATTCCTTGCCCCATCTGAACCTGCACCTTGCCCTTGGGGCCGCTCCACTGTCCCTTCACTTCTCAGGCACCAGCTGACTCCTTCGCTGAGGAGCTCCTCCCCTCTAAAACCTCAAGCATTTGGCACCTCTCTGTGCTCTGCCTGCATGGCAGTACAAATTCTGACTGGCTGGCTCCTCCATCACATAACCTGTTTGTGGAGATGTATTCACAAAGAAATAGAGTGAGCCAACCCCATAGAGCAAGAGCTAATCAGCACTATTCAGAGAGAGCCACATCCCACATGGCTGATCTCTGAATCCAGGTGCCGGCAACTTGACAGACATGCTGTGCACATGCGTACATGGCCAGGATCCTGTCAGCATCGAGAAATGGAGGGAAAGGATCGTGAATTGACCATCTTATTGAGGGGGTGCACTCTCAGAATCTTGCTCACATGCCTTTTGGCATTAAAAAATACATATATAGGAGGACCAGCAGTTAGCATAATGGCTATGTCGCTGGACTCCCACGTAGTCGACCGCGGTTCGTGTCCCGAACCCGGTGGCTTAAACTCACACCGGGCGCATGTGTGTGCGTGCCCAAGATCTCGAGAGGAAAATGGAGGAGAAGGGATTGCGGCGTGGCCATCCCCGCTGGGGGGTGATTTCTCGCTTTCTGTCTCTCTGTCTCTCTCTGTCTGTCTGGCGAGCGCCGGTGCCCTATAGCAAAAACCTCTCAAAAAAAAAAGTATAATATTTCTGAATAAAAAAGGTAGGGTTTGGGATTGCAAAAGAAGCATCCATCTGGAGCTTTCTTTGGCTTCTTAAAGGGAAACTGGACAGAAAGTCCCACTCAGCTGCTTTGCCATCAGTGGATGTGGCATCTCCCGTGACGCTGGTCTCCTTTCCTAGGGTGCCTGAGTTCACCTGTCAGGTGGCAGGCTGCTGCCAGGTGTTTGATGCTCTGGAGGACTACGAGCACCACTACCACACACTGCACAGAAACGTCTGCTCCTTTTGCAAGCGGGCCTTCCCCTCCGAGCACTTGCTGGACGCTCACATCCTGGAGTGGCACGACTCACTTTTCCAGATCCTGTCAGAGAAGCAGGACATGGTGGGTGACATGTCCATGCCTGTTGAGGTCAAGTACAGTCCTTATGGTGGGGGGTGGGGGATGTCAAGCACTACCCCCAGCCCTCTGTGAATAGGGTAATGCCAGGGGGGTACCTTCCCAGTCTTGGCACACCCAGGCCATGAGATTGCAGTGGGGGAGGGCTCAGGGTCACCATGGAGGTGACACCATCTTCGTTGCAGTACCAGTGCTTGGTAGAAGGATGCACAGAGAAGTTCAAGACCAGCAAAGACCGGAAGGATCACATGGTGAGGCTTCACTTGTACCCTGCGGATTTCCGGTTTGATAAACCCAAGAAAAGCAGAGGGTAGGTGAGGTGCCAGTCTGTGCTGTGCTGCCCTGTCCAGCTTCAGCATGCAGCTACCCCTTGATATTAGAAAAGCCTTTGATCAACTTGAGTACATAGACTAAAAATTTACATGCTATAGTCGGTCATCTACTTACCACTTATTGTTGCATTTATTGGAATTTAACTGAACCTCTGACGGTAGGGGATTATTCACTAAAGGGAGTTCAGAATCGGTGGTGGTTTTGGGTGTAGCCACCCCTGTCAAAGAGAGACAGGAAGGTGAGTACTTGACTCCCCTTATCCTGGGCGGTGGCAGGAGGAACTGTTGCAAAGGAGCGGGCACCACATTTCTCGGGGCTCACTACTTACCACTTATTGTTGCATTTATTGGAATTTAACTGAACCTCTGACGGTAGGGGATTATTCACTAAAGGGAGTTCAGAATCGGTGGTGGTTTTGGGTGTAGCCACCCCTGTCAAAGAGAGACAGGAAGGTGAGTACTTGACTCCCCTTATCCTGGGCGGTGGCAAAGGAGCGGGCACCACATTTCTCAGGGCTCACTGCACTTGCCTGTGCCTGTATCTCCCCCAGCACATCAGCCCCACTCACATCTCATGGCTGGAAGAACAGCCTTCCAAAGCAGTGTGGCAGGGGCCTTTGGAGGTCTTTCTAGGGTGCAGGCCCCTCTCCTCCTGTGGAGCCCTCTGGTCCTTCATTTGTCCTGTCGGTATATGTGAACACAACCACAAAGCCGTTTATTAGCACATTTTTATTTAGAATACAATGTGGAGAAAAACTTCCAGGAATAAGTCTTAAGTTGTGTTGTATTTCTTTACTTTGTTAAACTGATTCTTGCAGGTGAATCTTCCTAGCCATTGCAAAATTACACTGATTGAAGTCTTTTCGGATTAATTTATTTCCCCAAATACATCCTGTTTAAAATAAAATAGTTGGAGAACTCAACTGTAATACGGGAGACTGTATAAAGTCTCTTTTTTTCCTGAGGAATTGTCTTGAGAAAACACTATAGTGCTGGATTAAGACACTGTTATTAGGGAGGACACTATTTTATAATCTCTGGTTAATTTTTGTAAACTTTTCTCATGAAAAGATATTTGACACCTTTGATAGGCATTTACCATGCAGCACTATTTAAAAAATAGTATTTTCAAAAGACAAAGTGTAATTCTTACACTTCATAAGATACAGAATTTATTATAAAAATAAACATCGACCTTGCCGTAATCATTTCTTTTCCTGGTAGTCTAAAAATTACACTCTAAAGTTAGACTCTGCCAAAATAGTAAGAAAATAATCCCTGCCAGAAAAGATAGTCTGCACCCTGAAAGTTCATATCTGGAGGAAGACAGGGCTACAGGAGCCATACAGAGCTGCAGCTCAAGGCTCTGTCCTCTGCAGCCCAGCTCTGCAAAAGGCTGGTGCAAACACAGCAGCCGAAGCCCTGGAGGTTGACGGGGAGCAGTCAGAAGGGGACGCCATGGAAGTCTGCTCTGAACATGTGGCACCCTCCTCAGCACCTGTGGGCGAGAGGCGGACCTACAGTCAGAGGTCAGTATCGGACATCTTTCTGAAGTTAAGTCTGAATGTGTGCTTTATATTGAGAGTTCTGGGTTTGACCCTGGGCTGGCATTCTTACTGAGAAAAGGTAGCACTGGGCAAAAGTACTGGCTTCTTTCAGAGGTGAAAGCCTGAATACTCTGTTTTGTTTTGTTTTGTTTCCTCTAATAACTTAGTATCCTTTATAGACTCTGCCTTTGAATCTCTCAAACAAGGAATGCAAAGCACTTTCCCCTTTTCATCGTTATCTAAAATGGGATGGAAAAATCTTGCTTGTAATTGCTTTATTTAAAACCCAGCAGTCCATCTTTGTACTATTAACTGCTTTTACTGGGTTAAAGTTGATTTCAAATCTAATTTTGGGGGGAAAAGTTGTTGAACAAGTCAAGGGGAAAATGACCAAAAAATTCAAACTGATTGGAAGATGGATTTATGTGTCTCTCAGCTGCCTCCTTGCAGTTGCCTGGACTTTGGCCTGTAAGTGAGTCCTGTGTGCCTGTGGGCAGGTAGGGTTTCAGTTAGAGGGTGGATAACAGGAAGTCTGAGCCCCGGAGAGCTTGGCAGGAGCCAACCCCTCTTCTTGGCTGAGTTCTGAGTGAGCGTGTGCCAGTGCTGAGAGAATCTCCCACAGGGAAGCAGGTCTGAGACGAGACCATGGGAAAGGGAGCTGTCCCAGGGCCCAGGAGGGCAGACTCAGCATACAGAATGTTCCAGAAAGTAAAAGAGAAAGGGGACATTCCAGAATAAGAAGGGAATACACACAAGGATGATATTATGATACAGTTATTTAATACAGACCTTTTTTTCTTTCCAGAATACCTTCTACCATCTGTTTTGGTCAGGGTGCATCCCGAGGATTTAAAAGCACCAAGAAAAGAAACAAACAGCACTGATGGGTCCAGGCAGAGAGAACTCGGCACCTGAGCAGACCCCAAGCTCGGGAGGCGGAGGGTATTTGCCTCCTGTAGTCGGTGTCAATAGGAGCCTGTTTTCTCACCCCCCAGTCAACCATCCTGGGGCCAGGCATTTGCCATCCTTGATGTTTCGGTTCCTCAGCAAATGATGTCAGTAGATAATATCAGAAGCATCGAAGGACCTGCACATTCTGTGATCCTCTGAGGGGACTGAAACGTGGAGACTGGCCTACTACCCTCTGCAGGGACCACACTAAGAATGCCCTTTTAAAATATGTAAAATAAATATTTTTTTCTTGATGGTCTTTTAGTCTTCATTTTTATGCTACTGAAGCAGATAGGAAAATGAATGACTATTATTATGAGTATTTTGTTCTTTACATTCAGTTTTCAGGAAGCTGTGTGAAGTCTGAGAGGTGGGCGACTGGGGAGGATACATCTGTCAGCTCAAGTCTTTGACCTTTGTGGCTTTGAGAGAGAAACATGGATTTTCCTCGTACCTACCACTCAGTAAGCAAACCCCACTGGGAGGTGATGACCCGAAGAGGGTGGTTGGTACTGGGGAAGGAGTGAAGGCCAGGAGGTGATGGCCAGAAGAGGGTGGTCAGTACTGGGGAAGGGGCGAAGGCCAGGAGGCTCCTGAGGAACTTTGTTGGATACTGCACCAAGAACAGTAGCACAGCAGGCAGAAGCCTGCCCAGCAGCGTGTGTGAGACCCCTTAAGAGCGTACCATTGGGGGGCCAGCAGATGGCGTAATAGTGAGGTGGTAGACTCCCCCATGGCTGACTGTGGTTTGAAAATCATGCTGGGACTGTGTCCATGCATGTCCAAGACACTGGGAGGAGAAGGGATTGAAGCGTAGCTATCCTCTGGGGGGTGATTTCTCACTTTCCCTCTCACTGGCAATGTCTCTCCCTAGCAGTCAGCTGTTACTCCTTGCAAGGAGGCTACTGCCCCAGTTCCCAGTGGGCCATGCTTATAGCTTCCAGGGACCTGGAGTAGAGGGAACTGCAAAGGTAGTCTCAAGAGTCAGAGAACATTACATTACACTGGTGCCACATGCAGTAAAAACTAAAGGCAGGTTTCTAGTGTAAACTTTGAAAGCAAAACCTCAAGTACAGGTCCTGGTATACTGAGGAGACCTAATACTTTTCTGGGGGCAGGATGGTGCCCAGGGTCCTGTCTTTGCCTCTGGGGAAAAGACAATGTACAGAAAAATGCAAAATGTAAAAATACCATTCTCTCCATCTCCCCTCAGAAGACTTCATCCTGGGTAATCCATTCCTTCTCAAACTCCTGCAGGTTCTCTTTGCAACACAGTGAGCATAGTCTAGCAATCAGCATCATATTTGCCCTTTTCGTAAGAGCTCACCTTGCCAAAATTCTCTTGTCACAGTGTTAGCCACCACGTAGGAATGTGTTTCACAGTTTTGGGGGACTCAGTTCTGGGATCCAATTATAGTTTCATCCCTACCTAGAAAGCGATTTGTTTATTCTGTTTCAATTTTTCTTGTGAAAAACAAGATGTAACACTGGTGAGAAGAATGTTATGGATGAAGAAAAAACAGCATCAAAATTATTTTGATGTGGGCTGCATCAGTCTCTAAGGAGATGCTTATGGTTCTGCTGCAAAATCTTGGTGTGGTTTTCAGGTCACAGTTATCAAGGGCAGAGTTGGAAGCATCTTCCAAGAAAAGAAGTTCCCCTGGGACCAGCAGATGGTGTAATGGTTACATCACTGGACTCCCATGGAGTCAAGCGCAGTTCGAGTTCCAGATCTGGTGGCTTAAACTCAAGTGGGGTGCATGTGCATGTGTGCCCAAAATCCCGAGAGGAGAATAGAAGAAAAGGGATTGTGGCATGGCCATCTGCCCTAAGGGGGGATTGCTCACTTTCTGTCTCTGTCCCTTTGGCGAGCACACACACACCCTATACCAAAATTCTCTCAAAGAAAAAAAATTCACTTACAGTGAATGCAAGGGAGTCAGACTTCTGAACTGGCTCAACAAATACAGAAAAAGATGTAAGGTTACCAAGTTTTTGTTTGCTTTGGTGGAGAAATAGAATTACGTATTTGGGTTTATGTGAAATAGTCAATGTTTCATTATTTCGGAGAACAGAAGGTATCAGAGTGACTTTTTCTCTCTTAACTGGTGTATGAAGTAGTCATATTAGAAACTTATTTTATGTTTGATTGTTCATAATATCTGAAGTCTCTGTGAATCCGATTCTTTTGTTCTTTGTTTCTCCTGATACAGTCATTGGTGTTTGGTTTCCTGGTATATTTCATGATTTAGGGCCATGAGTTTATATATTTTAACCTCTGCAGTTTCTCTGAGATGTCTGGGTTCTTCTAGTAAAGAAATTGGCACTTGCTTTGAGGTGCTAACAATCTAAGACCACTTTTAAAAAACTATTGGGGGGACCAGCAAGTGGCATACTGGTTAAGACACTGGACTCCCACTTAGTTAACTGCAGTTCAAATCCCAGACCTGGTGGCTTTAATATCACACTGGGCATGCATGTGCATGCCCCAAATCCCGAGACAAAACTGGAGGAGAAGGGACTATGGCATGACTGACCCCTTGAGGGATGACTTCTCATTTCTCCTCTCTCTCTGCCACACACACATGCCCTATGACAAAAACCTAAAAATAAATAAATACATAAATACGCACACACACACACACACACACACACACAACTATTGGGTATGGATTTGGTTGTGTTCTGTTTTGACCATAAGGGCTGGAAATGTTGGCTACAGAGCTTAGCTGGGGGGGGGGGGGGGGGGAAAGCGGGGTGGGGGGGGGGGGGGGGGGGCAGCAAATGATTTCAAATGATCAAGAAGAGTTTTTCCCTTTAATTAGTGCCATGGAAATTTTTCTTTTAGTTTTTGGGAACAATTATGGTAACAAGAGAATTTCATCCACTAAAGTGTTAAAAACTACTTTTTCCACAAATGACTTCTCTGGTTGCCTTTTCACAACTCTCTGGAAAGCAGATCATCTGAATGATAAAAACAGACTGTTCACTCATAACAAGAGAAATAGAAATAAATCTTGGGTTGTCGGGAAAGTCATGGTATTTTCCCATGTTTATCTATGCAAAAATGTGTCATGACTTTCTCGATGACCCGGTAATAGACCTAGAGACCCTTTCTTACATATCCAGTTGACAAAAACCTAAAGGTCTGATGGTCCACTCTGTTGACTAGACTCTGGCAGAGGGACAGGCGTTGTATACATTGTCAGTAGGAATGCTGAGTTTCAAGCCACTGGATCTGGAACTCAAACTATGGCTGGCCATGTGGGAATCCAGCAACATACCACTACACCATCTTCCGGCCCCACAGTACAGTCTTTTAATGACTAAAGAATGTGTCTTAGTCTGGTTTCTGCTGCTGTAACAGAGTGCCTGAGACTGGGTAATTATAAAGAACAGAAATTTATTTCTTACAGTTTGGGAGGCTTAGAAGTTCAAAGTCAGGGGTGCCAGCATCTGGTGAGGGCCTTCTTTCTTTTATGGCAGAAGGCAGAAGAACAGAGAATGCGAGAACATTTATGAGTGCTCTCATGACCTAATCACCTTTATGGCCTAGGTATTGGGGATTAAGTTCCCAACACATGGATCTTGAGGCATATATTCAAACCATAGCAAACTGACAACTCCAATGTCTCAAGTCCAAAATCCCTTCTCTTCCAGTCTCCTTTCCGGATCTTAGGCACATATACACATGTGCCCAGCATGAGTTTTAAGCGACTGGGTCCCGGACTCCAATCTTGGTTTACTACGTGGGAGTCCAGCAACGTAACCATTATGTCATCCGCTGGATCCAATAACAAATCTTTTTTTTAAAAAAGAAATGTACATCAAAACTGACTGGAATTTATCTCAGGAACACAAGGTTGGTTTAATATTTAAAAATTAACTAATATCAATAACTAAAAACAAAAACCACATGATCATCTCAACCGATACAAAAAAATAATTTCATAAAATCCAGTGCCCTTTCAAGATTAAAAAAAAAAAATAGTACTAAATAGTCTGTGGATAAAGGGTCAGCCAGTGATATGGTAGAAAGGTGGCTGGATCCCACATGGCCGAGAGCTCAGTTTGAGTCCTAGACCCTGTGGCTTGAAAATACACCAGTTGTGCATGTACACATGCCCAAGATCAGAGCAAAGAATGGAGAAGATATTGCAGTGTGGTCATGTTCTCACTTTATCTGTCTGTCTCTCTGGCAAGCACACATGCCCTATAGTAAATTAATAATTTTTTTAAAAATCAAGAATAAGACAAAGATGCCCTCTCTTTCCATTTTTACCATGTTCCCACTGGAGGCTGTAGCCAGCCCAGTAAGACAAGCAGAAGAAATAGGCCTGTCCTATTATGTTTAGTTTCAATTCCATTTTTGGGGGGAGAGGTTTTTGCTATAGGGCGTGTGTGCTCGCCAGACAGACAGAGAGACAGAGAGATAGAAAACGAGAAATCACCCCCCAGGGGGGATGGCCACGCCACAATCCCTTCTCCTCCATTTTCCTCTCGGGATCTTGGGCACGCACGCACCCGCACCCGGCGTGAGTTTAAGCCACGAGGTCCGGGACTCGAACTGCGGTCAAGTATGTGGGAGTCCAGCAACATAGCCATTACGCTAACTGCTGGTCCTCAACTCCATTTTTTAAAAAGAATTATTTATTTAGTTTTCACTTATTCACTCATTTATTTTAATTTGACCAGAGAGAGAAAGAGAGAGAAAGCGAGCCACTAGGTCCGGGACTCGAACCATGGTCAGCCATATGGGAGTGTCTAGCACCTTAACTACCACATCATCTGCTGGTCCCTCAACTATATATTTTTTTTTAGACAACCGAAACAGTTGCTTAAACAAGATACAAATGTAGTTCTCAATTTCTGGCGCTGGGGGGGTAACTTCTGGCCTCTTGGGCAGCTTTTATTATCCATGTTGTAAAAATATACAGGAACTCATTGAGGGGTAAGATGGTTCCCCATTCTGATAAATTTTCAAAGTACAACCTGAAAGAATAACACCCTTTGTGTGTTAACAGGAATAATGTAGCTGGTGTGTGTGTGTGTGTGTGTGTGAGAGAGAGAGAGAGAGAGGGAGATTTTCTCTAGAGGGTATCTGCACATGTGCTTGACAGAGAGACAGAGACAGAGAGATTGAAAGCAAGAAATCACAACCCCAGGGGGGATGGCCACCCCACAAACCCTTGTTTTCCATTCTCCTCCCGGGATCTTGGGCATGCATACACACGCACCTGGCGTACATTTCAAGCCACT